GGGATTTGCCGATTGTACGGGACAGGAGCAGGCAGCGAGACATGATGAAACTAAGCGTGGATGAAGCACGTAGCTCGCATTTAATTACAAGAAAGATTACTCTAGTTGTTGTTTGGAGAGGAAAACACCGCAAACTTCAAGCGCTCCCTGTTGGCTTTTTTGCTACCATGGTGAGGGCTTACCCCTGAGCAGCGACTGGGAATAGAGAGAAAGGGTGGACGGGAGGGGTGATACCAGGAGGGTTTGGCAACATTAGGATGGGGGTGGTGAGGAAGAAAAACGGGATGAAATGATCCCATTTTCTAGCTCAAGTGTCTGGGTGGATGTTATTACCCAAAACCGGTTTTGGATTACAGAGAGGAAACAAGAATTTGAGGCAGAGAAGGGAGGAAGAGAATGTGCTGTGTTTCTGACATTTTGAGTTTGAAGGTCCTGAGGAACATCCAAATAGAGATACCAGGAAGTGGCTGGAAATGACGTCAGAAATTAAAGAGGGTGTGTGTGTGTGTGTGTGTGTGTGTGTGTGTGTGTGTGTGTGTGTGTGTGGGTGGGTGTGTGCATCATTTATTTATTTAAGAGTCATCAGCATGTAGAGGTGATAATTAAAACTACGGAGGGGGCTTCCCTGGTGGCGCAGTGGTTGAGAGTCTGCCTGCCGATTCAGGGGACACGGGTTCGTGCCCCGGTCTGGGAAGATCCCACGTGCCGCGGAGCGGCTGGGCCCGTGAGCCATGGCCGCTGGGCCTGCGCGTCCGGAGCCAGTGTTCCGCAACGGGAGAGGCCACAACAGTGAGAGGCCCGCGTACCGCAAAAAAATACCCAAAAAAACAAAAAAAAAACTACGGAAACAGAGTCAGCCTTCAGAGAGAGTATTTACAGCCAGAAGATGGCCTAGGACTGTATCTTAGAGAACAACCAGCATGTTCAGTTTGGGAAGAAAATGTTCTCATTGTGTGTGCATATATTCTGAAGTCATAGCACAAAATAAAACAAACAAAAGTATTCTAGCGTACTCTCAAATCTTGTAAATCAATGCACTTATTCATGCATTTTGGGGATTACATCTAACATGGTCATAATAAATTTACATAGTTGCCAAGGAGGGGCAAGTCATAGTAAACTGCCGCGGTTTTATTTTCTGTTCTTTGTTCCACTTCTCTCTCTAGTAATGAAGATAATAGAGAGTTGACTGTATTAGTGATGTGTGATCTTTTAAACAGCCTATTTTGCCCTTAAAAAATTCTGCTTTAAAGCCTCAATAAATTTAAGAAAACTGATATCATATCAGGCATCTTTTCCGACCACAACGCTGTGAGGCTAGAAATCAACTACAGGGAGAAAACTGCAAAAAACACAAACACATGGAGGCTAAACAATATGCTACTGAACAACCAGTGGATAACTGAAGAAATCAAAGAGGAAATCAGAAAATACCTTGAGACAAATGAAAATGAAAACACGACGATCCAAAACCTACAGGATGCAACAAAAGCAGTTCTAAGAGGGAAGTTTATGGTGATACAAATTTACCTCAGGAAACAAGAAAAGTCTCAAACAACCTAAACCTTATGCCTAAAGCAACTAGAGAAAGAAGAACAAACAAAACCCAAAGTTAATAGAAGGAAAGAAATCAGAGAAATAAATGAAATAGAGACTAAAAAAACAATAGAAAAGATCAATGAAACTAAAAGCTTGTCCTTTGAAAAGATAAGCAAAATTGATAAACGTTTAGCCAGACTCATCAAGGAAAAAAGGGAGAGGGCCCAAATCAGTAAAATCAGAAGTGACAAGGAAGTTACAGCCTACACCACAGAAATACAAAGGATCATAGGAGACCACTGTGAGCAACTATATGCCAATAAAGTAGACAACCTAGAAGAAATGGACAAATTCTTAGAAAGATACAAATACAATCTCCCAAGACTGAACTAGGAAGAAACAGAAAATATGAACAGACCAATTACCAGTACTGAAATTGGATCAGTGATTTTAAAACTCCCAAGAAGCAAAAGTCCAGGACCAGATAGCTTCACAGGTGAATTCTACCAAACATTTAGAGAAGACTTAACACCTATCCTTCTGAAACTATTCCAAAAAATTGCAGAGGAGGGAACACTTCTGAACTCGTTCTATGAGGCTACCATCACCCTGATATCAAAACCAGACAAAGATATCACAAAAAAAGAAAAAATGACAGGCCAAGATCACTGATGAACATAGATGCAAAAATCCTCAACAAAATACTAGCAAACCCACTCCAGCAATACATTAAAAGCATCATGCGTCATGATCAAGTGGGATTTATCCCAGGGATGCAAGGACTTTTCAATATCCACAAATCTGTCAGTGTGATACACACCACATTAACAAATTGAAGAGTAAAAGTCATATGATTATCTTAGTAGATGCAGAGAAAGCTTTTGATAAAATTCAACATCCATTTATAATAATAATAAAAAACAAAACTCTTCTGAAAGTGGGCATAGAGGGAACGTACCTCAACATAATTAAGGCCATATACAGTAAACCCACAGCTAAGATCACACTCAATGGTGAAAAGCTAAAAGCATTTCCTCTAAGATCAGGAACAAGACAAGGATGCCCACTGTTGCCATTTTTATTCAACATAATTTTGGAAGTCCTAGCCACAGAAATCAGAGAAGAAAAAGAAATAAAAGGAATCCAGATTGGAAAAGAAGTAAAACTGTCACTGTTTGCAGATGACATGCTACTATACATAGAAGATCCTAGAGCCGCTACCAGAAAACTACTAGAGCTCATCCATGAATTTAGTAAAGTTGCTGGATATGAAATTAATATACAGAAATATGTTGCATTTCTATACACTAACAACAAAATATCGGAGAAATTAAGGAAACAGTCCCATTTACCATCACACCAAAAAGAATAAAATACCTAGGAATAAACCTACCTAAGAAGGCAAAAGGCCTATACTGTGAAAACTGTAAGACACTGGTGAAAGAAATTGAACACAACATGATGGAAAGATATACCATGTTCTTGGATTGGAAGAATCAGTATTGTTAAAAGACCATACTGCCCAAGGCAATCTACACATTCAGTGCAATTCCTATCAAATTATCAATGGCATTTTTCACAGAACTAGAACAAAAAGTTTTTTTAATTTGTATGTATGGAAACACAAAGACCCCGAATAGCCAAGACTATCTTGAGAAGGAAGAATGGAGCTGGAGGAATAAGGATCCCTGACTTCAGACTATACTACGAATCTACAGTGATCAAAACAGTAAGGTACTGGGAACAAAAACAGACACACGGATCAACAGAACGGGATAGAAAGCGTAGAGATAAACCCACACACTTATGGTCAATCTATGACAAAGGAGGCGAGAATATACAATGGAGAAAAAAGTCTCTTCAATAAATGGTGCTGGGAATACTGGACAGCTGCATGTAAAAATATGAAATTAGAACATTCTCTAACACCATATACAAAAATAAACTCAAAATGGATTAAAGACCTAAATGTAGGACTGGAAACCATAAAACTCCTAGAGGAAAACATAGGCAGAACACTCTGACATAAATCGCAGCAATATATTTTTCGGGCCGTCTTCTAGAGTAATGGAAATAAAAACAAAAATAAATAAATGGGATCTAATTAAACTTAAAAGCTTTTGAACATCAAAGGAAACCATAAACAAAACAAAAAGACAATCTACAGAATGGGAGAAAATATTTGCAAACGATGCTACTGACAAGGGATTAATTGCCACAATATACGAACAGCTCATACAGCTTAATATAAAAAAAAAAAAAACAATCAAAAAGTTGGCAGAAGACCTAAACAGACGTTTCTCCAAAGAAGACACAAAGATGGCCAACAGGCATATGGAAAGATGTTCAGTATTGCTAATCATTAGAGAGATGCAGATCAAAACTACAATGAGGTATCACCTCACACTAGTCAGAATGGTCATCATTATAAAGTCTACAAATAATAAATGCTGGAGGGGGTGTGGAGAAAAGGGAACCCTACTCCACTGTTGGCAGGAAGGTAAATTGTTACAGCAACTATGGAGAACAGTATGGTGGTTCCTTAAAAAACTGAAAATAGAGCTACCTTATGATCCTGCAATCCCACTCCTGGGCATATATCTGGAGAAAACCATAATTTGAAAAAATACACGCAACCCACTGTTCATTGCAGCACTATTTACAATAGCCAAGACATGGAAGCAACCTAAATGCCCATCGACAGATGAATGGTTAAAGAAGATGTGGTGTATATAGTATAGTATCATATAATATAATGGAATATATAATGGAATACTATTTAGCCATAAAAAGGAATTAAATAATGCAATTTGCAGCAACACGGTTGGACCTAGAGATTATCATATTAAGTGAAGTGAGTCAGAGAGAGACAAATATGATATCACTTATATGTGGAATCTAAAAAGAAAAAAGGATACAAATGAACTTACTTACAAAACAGAAATAGACTCACAGGCATAGAAAACAAACTTATGGTTACCAAAGGGGAAAGGTGGTAGGGAGGGATAAATTAGGAATTTGGGATTAACATATACACACTACTATATGTAAAATAGATAAGCAACAAGGACATACTGTATAGCACAGGGAACTATACTCAGTATCTTATAATAACCTACAATGGAAAAGAATCTAAATATATATATATATATATATATATATATATGTATAACTGAATCACTTTGACATACAATTGAAACTAACAACATTGTAAATTATACTTCAGTTTTAGATTCTGCTTTAAACTTAAGTCTTTACATGTCCTTGTGCTATAGGTTTATTGGATTTCACTGATTTGAGTGTAGTCTGATTGTTTCAAGGAAACTCGTCATTTTAATCATTCTGCTAAACTTTTCTCTTTAAAAATGATCATGCTAGTATGTTATTAGTTACTTCAATTGCTCTTTCC